TTTTCACCAAACATTAAAGAGGTGGTAACAGTTCAATGTTTAGTCCTAAAAGACGATGCAACTCCGACTCTGTTTGGGCCTGGAAATTCACAATCACAACCTGTAAGTATGCTTTATTGGTTGTGAATTATATTTAAAATAAACACGGCAATGCAACTTTACAGACTGTTCAAGTGCGGAGTTGTCGTAAACGTTGGCTAACACAGTTAAAGTTATAGCTATAATGCTAACGTTACACCCGATGTGAAAGCTACTGAGCAAACGTTCAAATTGTTTGGCATATTTTTATGTAAAATTGAGTTGAAATATGGTGATTTTTGTAGTGGTTTGTGGTAAGATGTGGAACAATGATGTTGTGTGGTTGTGGACTTGTGAGAAACGTATACCATCTGCTAGGTTATGGTCGCAGTCTGAAGCGGCTTTGATTTGGATCACACTACTTTGTTTCTTACGACCCGCCCTTCTCTGCTGATTGGCTAGTAGTCCTTACCTGGGAACTGCGCATGTGCAACTCCAAGTAAGATGCATCACTCTGTAGCTCAAGAGTGGAGCGTACAACACACAGGGTGAAAAGAGGAGCTGCAGCAATGTGCAGTATGAGAAAAATATGGTGTTTTTTGAAAATTAAACCATGTAAACCTGTTCTGGTACAACCCCTGAATAAGATTTTGAACCTGAAAATGAGCATAATACCACCTCTTTAAAGTACAAGTACAATCAGAAATATTTGTGAAAAGGGACACCTTTCTTAAGCTATCTGAAGCTTGTACTTAGGGGCCCAAACACTAAGCAAATACATATATATTTGAAGTACTGACACATTATCTAAATAAATACTACAATTTAAGCACATGAAATATACAGTATAATTTCTAACCTACATACAGAAAACCCTAAGAGCAAACTATCCTAATCCTACTACCCAGTGGTCCCAAGAAATTCATTACATCAGTCTCTAGCTCTATCATTCTTGGTTAAATAGGTGAAAAACAATAAATGGAGGTAAAATACAATTGATGTACAGCTAAGAAATTGGAAGATAGTGGAGGACCCCCTTGGAGCCACAAACAACAGGTCCCTAGCACTCTGAAGGCAAGTATGACTGGAAAGCAATTATAATAAAATCTAAACCTTTATTAATAAAAAAATAGGTATTAAAACAATGTGAAGCACAAAGAGACAGGTTGGCTGAGATATCAATGAGCCCATAAAACACACTAGCTGACATGCAGTAAATATAATGACCAGCAGACACGTTAACCCAGTGGAAAGAGGAGCTCACAATCAATGGACATGGGGCAAGTTCATGTTCAAATCCCACCAACTACACAGCTGATCCCCACCTGGGTCTCCCTTACTCCTTTAGCCTCCCCCTAACATTGCATGGGGCCTTCCTCGTAACAGCGGTCACCAGCTGTTATGCTGCGGCCAGACTCCGCCCTGACCCGGGCTCTCTTGACGGACACGCAGCGTGCCAGCTCTTCACGTGGAGGACGAAAGCACAAGACACCCGCGGATCACCAACAGGTGCCTATCGGCTAATCACTTTGCGCACCCCTGCACTGCCAGACCAGCCACACCAGCTGCCCCGCAACGTCAGTTCCACCGGCTTCATATTCACTCAAAATGTAGGCTTATTTAGGTCTTATAAAATTAATAAATAAATAAATAAACCAAAACTAAGGATATTTACTCTTTCATATTAGTTAGTTTTGCGAACCTACAATAATGTTTTAGTTATCGTTTTTTGTAAATTTTTTTCAGTTAACAAGTTTTTTTTCACATCTAGTTTTTGTTATTTTGTTCGTCTTCGTTAACGATTATAACCTTTGTGGGGTGTGCTGCGATACATGAGGAGGAAATTTGCCAGTCGGTGACTGAGTGGCAAGGAAGCCTTACCATCTGCTTCCAACATCTCTGTGCTGCCCCATTTGATACAGGGTGGTTTGCTGGTACTGCAGTGTGCTTAATACTATTTCTCTCCAGGAACTGAGTAAACTACTTAGACATCAGTTGTGGCCCATTATCTGATATCAGCTCCTCTGGCAGTCCATATGAAGAAAACAGGTCCCAGAGGACTTCAATGGTGTGAGAAGTAGTGGAGGACATGGGAAAAACTTCTAACCACTTCGAATGGCTATCTATGACCACTAAAAAGTACTGCTTGTCCTTTTCAGCAAAATCAAAGTGAATCCTCTGCCACACTCTTTCTGGCCATCTTCAAGTGTGTAGCAGTGCAACAGCTGGCATTTTCTGTACAGCTTGGCGAACAGAACAACTTTGCACAAGTTCTTGAATGTCTGCATCACAGCCTGGCCACCAGAGGTAGCTGCAAGAGAGAGCAAGAGTCTTCATGCGGCAGATACCTGGATGCTCATGATGAAGGTCGTCCAGCTATCTCTGTCGATATATTGACTTGTTGGCCCCCAAGCTTGCAGGCTTGTTCTGCTGACAACTCCTGTCTGCATATGAAGTAAGGCCTCAGTGCTTCGTACTGCACACAACTAGGCCATCCATTCATGGTGTAGCTCCACACCTTGCTGAGTAAAGGATCTTTAAAGGTAGCTCTATCAATGTCTTTTGCACAAACTGCTAGCTCATAGACATGTGAGAAGTAGACTAGAAGTAGAAGTAGAGTAGAAGTAGTACTTCCCTATTCTGCTGTGTTACTTTCAAGTCTCACTGTAAGTGTGACAATGCATCGGCGTTGGCATGATCAGCTGATTTCCTGTATTCAATGTCATATTTGCATGCCATGAGGATGAGAGCCCAGCATTGCATCCGTAGAGCTGCCAAGGTTGGAAATGCTGATTTTGACCACAGAATGTGTTATGATCTGTGAGAAGTGTAAATTTCCATGCATACAGATGATGGCAAGTGCCTCTTTGGTCAATTTGGGCATACTTCCTTTCAGCTTTAGTTAGTGTCCTCGATGCAAAAGCCACAGGCCGTTCCTCACCATTTTGACATGGGAGATGACAGCACCGACTCCATAAGGTGATGCATCATATGCAATCTTCAGTGGCAGGTGTGTGTTGTAATGTACTAACACCTTGTTCTGCTGCAGTAATTTCTTAGCATCTTCAAATCCCTTAACACATTCAGTAGTCCAAACCCACTTACAGTCTTTTTTAGCAGGCTGTGCAGAGGCTGGAGGATGGTAGATGGGTTTTCCAGGAAATGGCAGTAGTAGTTAAGAAGACCTAAGAAGGACTTCAGTTCTGTGATGTTTGTTGGTTCTGGTGCATATGTGTTGGCTGCAACCTTTTCTTCAGTGGGGTGTAGGCCATTCTTGTCAATACAATGTCCCAGATACTTCACACTGCTCTGAAGGAAGTGGCATTTAGAAAGTTTCACTCTGATGCCATGTTTCTCCAGACGTGTGAGCACCTCGTCCAGCCTTCTCAAGTGGTCTTCCACCGAAGAAGCAGTGATGAGAATGTCATCCAAAATGTCACATGATCCACTCCTTGCAGGATTTGGTCCATCACAGACTGAAAAATTGCAGGGACTCTGGAAACCCCAAGACTGAGGCAGTGATACTTGTACAGGCCTTTGTGCGTGTTAATGGTCAAATATTTCTCTGACTCTTCATCTAGCTGCAGTTGTTGGTATGCATGAGAGAGGTCAAGTTTACTGAATGATGTTCCTTCTGCCAAAGTAGCAAATAAATCCTAAGTGTCCTCTTTGATACAATAATTCACACTAACCTTGTAATCACCACATACCCTGATTGTTTTATCTACTTTGGGCACTCTGGGTGACTATGGGAGCTGCCCAATTCTCAATCTTTGAATCTTTGTTCAGTTGCAACTTCTTTAGCCAGTTTCGGCCCATAAGAGATGGTCTGTTTCTCTTAACAATGACCAGTGGTAGAGTGACTTGCTCTGTCCCATACTGTACTGGTATCATAATGTATCCTCGAACAGCAATTCTTTGGCCTGAGTATGATTTCAACTTTAACCCGAAAGCTTGTTTTAAAGGGAACCGAGCTAGGTTCGCCTGGTAAAATGTGTCAGACATCACTGACCCAGTATCCAGCAGCATAGTTGTGGGCTTGTCGTCCAGTGCCAGACTCACTGTGTAACCTTTTTGACAGCCTAAGGTAGTGTATACAGCATACACTGCAAAAAGCTCTGCGAGATAATCTCTTTTACATGCATTCCCTTCAGATTCCACATACTGAGTTTGAGAAGCGACTTTTCCCTTTCTGCAAGCAAGGACGATGTGTCCAGTTTTGGATCTGAGTGTTTTCCTCCACAACGATTACATGTTTGCTGCATTCCAGTGTCTGACGAGGCTCAATGTGGCCATAAAGCTCCATTGTATTTTTGGACACAAGCTCCATGGAGACTGCAATGTCACAGGCGCGAAAACTTCAGATCATTTTCCGCCGCAGCATCACATCACAGTCCACTGACAAACCAATCTCTCAGGGCATCGTCCAAATATTGTCCAAAATTGCAGGTGGCCGACAACTGCCTCAAAGCCACAACATAATCCGAAACAGATTCCCCTTCTTTCTGGTTACGTTTCTGAAAATGAAAGCGTTCAGCAATCACCACGGGTGCTGGCTTATAATGCGCGGTCAGTTCAGCATATGGCATAGTACTCGGCCCTGTCGGAGAGATTCTTCAGCAGCTTATAAGTGTCCACTCCAATCACGGAAAGAAACATGCATACCTTCTTGTCATCCTCAGCATCATTTGCCAACATCCACTGCTCCAGACGCTCCAGATATGAAAATTCTCCTTATATTTGTTGTATTCATCCATGCGACCCACTTGCATAGCCATGTTAGCTTGTTTGATGCTAACTCGTAACGTGCCTGGTTCCTTCACAAAAACACACCTTTGTTTTTGTACGACCAGTGTACAGTCCCTGTTTCAAATCCTTTCACGCAGTGGAATTCTTTAATATCCTAGTCGCCATTGTGATATACTGGTGCTGTTACTCAATAATCAGGCCGTGAGGGATGCGTTAACTCAACGTTCTTTACGTAGCGACCACAGGAAGTACAACAATACTCACAGGTTACAGCGCGGTCAGGAATACAATTCCGTTAACAGCATTTGCATACTTAAACCACAACGTGGCAAAATAGACTACTCTATTAGGAAGTGATGTCACAAACTTGACAGACACCTTCAGAGCCACAAAAAAAACCATTGTTGTCATAAACTGATTGTGACATGTAGAATGCCCCTTTTAACACCATAAAACAGCTGGCAGTCAACAAATGTAGATAAGTACTACATGTGTTGGAGTAAGGGCTCTTTTCTTTTAAAACTCTAGATGAAAAGGGTCCATGAAAAATCTATCCATCCTGATTAGTTAGCTGCAGTGCAGATCTGTAAGCAGTTGGATATTGGCAACATAATAAACATTAAATGAGAGCTACATGGACCAATTTACAAGGCGTAACTCAGTCTAAGTAACTGTTCAACTTGTCACTTTATGTTCTGTGAGACAAGTGCAGCAAGTTGGACTGTGTAAGCGAATGAGACTAAATATTCCTGTAAGCTTGATGGGGCTCTGGCTCAACAAGGCTCCAGCAGCTCCAGCTCCATCTGCAGCTCCTCTGAGTGAAAGCTGTAAACACAATTAAAGAATGCTGCTTGTTAAACAATGTCGCCCTATGACCAGCTTTGCTTCCTTATTGATTCATTCATTTCAACACATTTCTCACACACTTTTTCACTCAAACATTCATTCTGGGGGCTTGTGATATCAGGTCTGACAGCTACAAATGAATTATACATGAACTTTGTTGGTGTAAGAGATCGGTTGAACATTTGTCATGTTGTAGACTCCTGAAATTAAACAAATGTATTTTTACATGCCATGGTCTTAGACCTATCCAAACACATCAAAATCTACACATACCATAAACGTAATAGATGTTGATCGATACATGGTGCAAGGTTTAATTTACAGGATAGAATTCAGTATCATAATATTCTACTGAATAATTAAACCAAGCGCTTCCATACCATTTTCATATCTACAGTAAACATGTCCATGTGCTCATGGTCCATTTAAGTCAAAATTAAAATTAAAATGCCATTTTCTAACTATGTGACAATGAAAATGAGAACAGCATTTGACATTGCATTTTCATAGACTGGGTCTGCGCTATAGTGGAATTTATTTAAATGCAATGAGTGAAAGAGTGCCCCACATGGACATGTAAATGCAATAGACTGGGGGCGCTGTTTCACTCATTGCATTTGAATATAGTCCACTATAGAGCAGACCAAGTCTTTGAAAATGAAATGTCAAATGCTGTTTCCATTTTCATTTTAATATGGTCCTAGAATGCTCACATAAGTATGTGAAAATGATAATGTCATTTGTGGGATTACATTTTAATTTTCAAGTTTGCATGATAATTTTAATTTAGTCCCCTATATGCTTCCATAACTTCCTGTATATGTTTCAAATTAAAAGCTTTTTAGGAAATGGCATATGAGCTGCTGGAAGGCCTGTAAAAACACAACGTGGAAGCAATTGAAAATAATCCGTGAATGAAAACAGTATTTCTTTAAGAAGAGAGCAGCCTAGTGGTGAGTGTTGATCACAGTGTTGATTCAACAAGAACTGATGGAACTGGTGGAAGGCTATATTATACTGAACGTATCAAGAAAACAAGCTTGTTCAGCCCTAACAACAAATAGCAAAATGTTTAATTAAATGAAACGTTGGTGTCTTGAACACCCCGTTATGTTACTCAAGCACACTGCCTTTTTAATATGATGGAGTTTATATATCTTGTATGTCGTTGCTGTGTCAGGTGTGTCAGAGGTGTTAACCACCAAACAAGAATAAACTGTAACAAAACAGTGCACACTGTTTTCAGATTGAACCTGCCCCTGATAAAGTGTTGAGTTTGCAAACTAAAAAGGAAAGCATCTGAACACAGGGAGTCTTCTTCCTATAATATGTGGACCGGAGAAACGGGAAATGAAGAAATGAAGGCCTGTTTCTAATATAAACCTCTTTCATATAACATCCATTCAATTAGATATGTTTTTCTGCAGTTATGTAGAAATGTATGTTTTAGTGCAATTATTTACGTGTCCCACAGCACTTTCACCATTGTAGCGTATCATAGGGCCACCAAAACTGGCAACATGCAGTAAATTAGGCTAGGTCCCCTGTGTGTAGCTTATACAGCCATCTTGTATATGGACAGTGTAGCTGCTTTGAGAATTTGAAACATAATATTCTTGAAACAGTACATTCATTAAATATGTCAAAAGTAAACATTTTTGTTAAATTTCTTAGACAAAGTACATAATTATGTATTTTAGGGGAACATACATGTTTTACTTGGGCTCAGACAGGACTTATTTGGCAGCACATGTCAATGTGACAATATAAATAAGTGTGACGAAAGGTGTGTGAGGCTGTCAGTTAGGTCTGTACTTGTGCTACATGCCAGATCAGACCAAGGTATAGTCACGATCTGCTTTCTTGTGTGTGCGTGTTTTTGTAAAAATGATGCACACATAAATGCATCCTTTTATAAAGGTTAGTGAGTCACTTTGACTTTAAAATTCTGCATTTCCCTTATCCACTATTTTTCATAATGACTTGTTCAGTGTATAAGTTTTAATTGCATTACCAGTGCTTCACGGTACATTCATGTGCTCCTTGGATGGTCCCATTTCCCCGAGTTGTGAAGTTGTTCTTCCGACTTCAGCACGTGTTCATGTGCTCTTAAGTCAGAATGTGGAATCAACATGGATGCCACTACAAAGACGTGTTGGATTAGCATTATCAGAGAATATAAACAACACACAGAAATCTAGTTCACTCTACATGGACAGTAAACTAACCGTTATAACCATATAAAATTTTTTTTTTTAGGTTTGCAAAATATGTATATGCAATTTGCAGTTTTACACAAATCAACATTTTGTATATTTCTTTATGTCCCACGTGCACTTTATTTCTCTTTTTGTAATAAAGATTTAAGGAAGAAAAAAAGATTCTGATTATTCCGACACCGCATGAATGCACCATCAGTCACCGCTCACCCCTCCCTTTCAAAGTGCGCAGGAGAAGATACGATGGCTCTGTCGGCTCTTGTGCTAAATAATACACGTGGGACTTCATTTGTCCACATTTCTCTTACTTTGTTACTTCTAATAAACCAGACTACTACTACTACTAATACTAATGTTACTTGTTCTTCTTCTTCTTGTACGTATTCAAGTGACGAAACGCGCTCTGTAGAGTAGGGGTGTGGAAAATAATTGATTTTTAGATGCATCGCAATGCGGACTTGGACGATTCTGAATTGATTCACAAATGTCAATCATTGATTATCTAGAGGTTAATTGATAACATTATGTTGATGGAACGAAAAGGGCGGAGCTGGGAAATCTGTGCAGAGCACACAACGGAGACGTGTGGTTCTCCCTGTTCGGATTTTTCCCTAACATTATTGATTTTCACCCGCACACTGTGCATCACGGTAGCGCTTAGCTACCTTCATCTTCTCATTCTTCAGAGCTACGTGACAGGCGGCAGTAGGTGACGGTGAAAGCAGCGGAGCAGAGGAAAATATGAGCGCTACGTTTCAGCCTGGCAGTAAATGTACAGTGCAGGTCACAGTGTGTCCGTTAATCAAAGTCTGTTTGTTGCTTTCCAACAGACAGACTTCTGCCTCAATTGTCTGCAATTGTGTCATTTTTCTTCCTGCCCAAATTCACCCCCGTGACAAAAGTACATTCACAACATTTTGTAACCTAAAATATTGCCATGAAATTGGAATTCATCTCACTGCAACCTGAATACTGCTATACATACTTAAAATTAAATTTAGATTCATTACAGCTTTTTTGGGGGTTATGCTGAGGATAAATTATTATATTTCTGGAAAACTAAAGTAGATTGTAGCGATGTACATCCAGGTTAAAGTGGAAAGTGCAACATTTCATTAAGAAGACTTCTTCTCACAGCTCATCTATCTGCGACAAACTGTATGTTATCCAGTAGGTTTGTTGTCCATAATCCCTCTGCACTGCCATCCTTCTTTCTTCCTCTTTCACCTCAGAGTTCAGCATTTCTCTTCCTCCTCCACCAGAAACTCATTCCAGCCATTCTCTCTCCAATGATCTTGCAGCATTTCTCGCCTTCTCAAGTACGTCTGTGCATTTCCCTCAGGTGACCCCTCCCTCCCCTTCAGACCAATCTCGTCCCCCTGTTAAGCTCCCTCTTTTTTCTCTCCACCTCTCACTCCACACCTCTCAGTCACTCTCACAGGACTCTGTATTCAGAAGAAGCTGCCGTTCACTGCTTGCTCTCCCCCCTCCTTCCTTTGCTGTAAGTGATCACACTGTTTATATGGCCTTTTTCTTTTATCCAATTTCACACGTCCCAGCCTGTTTACTAGAAGTGGGAGCCACAGAAAGCCGCAGTGCCCTTTTGCTTCAGTCTCCAGCCCGCCATTCTTTCTTTCACTTCCTACTCTCCTTTTCTCCTCTCGCCTCTACCCTGCCAGCAGCTTTGCAGTAGCAATAAAAGCTTAGCTATCTTTCCCTGTTTCCAATGAATGCGATTAGGTTTCTATTTTTGTACAGGCTTGAATCACATTCAGAGTGTCATTTACTGAATTGGGGCTCTGCTGCTCTTTTCATAGTGAAACCAGTTTATTCCAAGGCAAACTCTTTACAAAAGCTGTAATGAGAGTAGAGTCATGTCTTTAAATGACTTCTCAATGTTAGTTTAATTGAATGAACTTGAACTGATCCGTACTACAATTGTTTTCACTGTGTCGGTCAGCCTACCTGGATTTGAACACGGGTCTAGAGGGTACCAAACATGGTACTTTGACAACAACACCAAAGAGCCAGACTCACTGGTATGGCAATCCAAGCACATTCTCGCCCATAGTGTAGGTGCTCTGTCACACACAGTTATCATCAATCTGTTGATTTATTTTCTTGATTATTTGATTAGTTGTTTGATCCATAAAGTGTCAGAAACTGATAAGTGTTTCCCACATCCTCAAATGTCTTGTATAGTTCACAACCCAAAAAAATTTCAGTTTACTGTCATGGAAGAGTAAAGAAACTAGAAAATACTCACATTTAAGAAGCTGGTATCAGAGAATTCTGAATTTTTTTGTTAGAAAATTACTCATCCTGATTAATTGATTAATAAAGATGTTTGGTCCAATCCAGAGGTGATGGTTCGCTCAATTTCTTTCAAAGTTTTACCTCAACATTTCCTACATCTCCCAAACTGACCCACCTTAAAAGTTAAGCGTGTAAAATTTAGTGGCATCTAGTGGTAAGGTTGCAAATTGCATCCAAAATAGATAGATAAAGAACTTTTTTGCAGAAATTCTTTATTTCGAGTTGAATTGAGAACTTTTACTTTGAAAAATTCTAAATTAATGTCTAAATGATTAAAAAGAGTCTGTACCCTGCTTGACACACCTTTGAAAGAGCCGTCAGAAAACGTGATTCCCCTAAATGTCCTCTGCCTGGAAATATAGGGGAAATGAAAATAAGCTTCCAAATGACAGATTCGGATCAAACACCAGAACATACACACTGCAGCACATGCTTTATTGTGAG